AGATGGAGAGCCGGCACTATGATGTGCTCTTCCTTGCCACAGGTGGGGACTCACCCCAGCTCTAGGGATGCTGTCACCACAGGGCAGCTTGTATGGCACACCGATCATGAGGGCTCGAGTGGCTCCTAGCCCTGACAGCTCCTTCTCCCGCTGCGTTCACAGATGAAGGTAAAGTCCTGAAGGTGGGGCTGACCAGCGGGGTGAGCCGTGGCACCGAGGTGATCAGCCTGGAGGAGATCAGCATCACTAAGGTATGGGAGGCCAGGGCCATGCAGCCTCCTCTCACCCTGTGGCATCTTCCCTGCAGGCTCCTGTAGCAAGTCACTGGCCTTTATTGGGAAGGTCCCTCACCTCATGTTGGTGGCTCCCACCTGCCCTGACTGACAGGCGATGCTGTTAGCATGGAGGGGAGCCAGGGGGACAGGAACCAAGTCATGTCCCAGCTCCCCCATCCAGTCCCTGGGCAGGATGGGGATAGCATGCTAGAGACCAAACTAAAATAGGAGGGCTGAGCCCAGGCTCAAAGCACAGCTCCCAGTCAGGGCTGCCCTGGGCTGCCCACACTAACCAGGACCAGCCCGGGCTCCTTGCATGGAGCAGGTAGAGCTGGGACCAGGGACCTGGGCCACAGCCCCAGCACCCTGCTACCCCGGAGTCCTAGCCCCACTGGCAGGCTGGGGCACCCAGGAGGGACCAACACGGCTGCAGCACCCTCTCCTTCCCCTCCAGGTGCCTTCTCCCATCCTGGACATGAAGTTATCACCAAAGAGGGTGAGTCATCTCTCCTGCTTCTTTCTAAAGCGGCCAAGGGACAGGGCACAGAGGGCAGCTGGCCCCAGCCCCTCTGCCTGGGTCCCTTGGCCCCAGGGCTTGCACATTTAGGGAATGGGCTCCTGCCAGGGCAGTCGGGGTGATGGCAGGCTCTGCCCCACCTCCCTGTGTCTCCCAGTGCTCCCACCCCAGCATAGGGCAGGGACCCCTGTTACCCAGCTAGCACCGGTCTCCAGCTGTGGGTACTGACTGCCGCTGTTCTGCTTGCCGGAGCAGCAGGAGCTGTTTGTGACCAGCACTCACGGGCTGCTCCAGCTCTCCCTGTACCGCTGCGAGCTCTATGGCAAAACCTGCACTGACTGCTGCCTGGCCAGGGACCCTTACTGCACCTGGGACAGCGAGACCTGCACCCCTCACCTGCTCACTGAGAAGAGGTGAGCGTCTGCTTGGGGCCAGCCCTCCTGTGCCCCTGCAAAGGGATGGTGCTCAGAGCAGGGAAGGGCAAGCCACTGGCCCTGGAGCTTTATCTGTCAGCCCAGACCCCTACTGCCATCCTGCTGGCCAGTCCCCCAGCCCTCACTAGTCCCCCTTCTACCTGACTGCTCTGCCACAGGGGGGTCCCACAGCCCGGGGCGGATGCCACCCCACAGCCCTGTCTGCTCTCCCACAGGCGTGCCCGCTGCCAGGACGTGCTAAAGCCTGACCCACTCAGCCAGTGCCAGGACACCGCAGAAGGTGAGCGCCAGCCCCAGCCCCTCTGAGGAGCCCCAGTGCAGGCAGCCAGCTCTGTCTGGGGGCCAGCAATGCCCAGGAGCATGGTGCTGGGAAATCAGTGCTCGCCAGCTGCACCAGCATCATCTGCTGCAGACCTTGTGCCGCCCACCATGTGCTGGATGCTCCATGCATCCTGCCTTCTCCCTCCCTGCCCATCACACAGCTCCCACGCAGGGTACTCACCCCTTCACTGTCCCACCCCCCATACAGTGACTGCTGCTGTGGAGAAGCTGGTTTTTGGGGTGGAAAAGAACTCAACCTTCCTTGAGTGCCTGGCGCGCTCCCCACAGACAACTGTCCGGTGGCTGGTGCGGCACAGCGAGGAGACAGGCCTGAGTGAGGTACGGGGAACAGGGTGGCTGAGACAAGGCACAGGGGTGTCTTGGTCCCTGGGGACTGACCAGTGGTGCTCTGGCTTTGCCACAGGTCAGGAACAACGGACACTTCTCGGTGCTGGAGCAAGGGCTGCTGATCCGCCAGCTGGCGAGGGAGGATGCGGGCACCTACGAGTGCCAGGCAGTGGAGCACTCCTTCTCCCATCCCCTCACCCGATACAGCCTCCGCATCATCAGGCATGAAGCCATGGAGGTGGCACCTTACAAATGGAGCAAGGGGGCCAAGCTAGGAGGGACCCACCAGAATCCCCGGGCCCGGATTAACCTGCATCTGGGCTACAAGGGCTTTCCACAGGCCCTGGGGGCACCGGGCACCAGCCTGGATGTCTACTGCAATGCCCTGCGACACCAGGAAAGGCAGCGGCAGAAAGCTTGGCACCAGAAGTGGCAGCACCCATCCCCGGACAGCAAGAACAGCCGGGTGCGGAGGCACTCCCAGCCCCTGTGAGGGGGCAGAGGGAGCCAGGGCTACCCATAGCTCCCTTCCTGGTCTCTCCAGGGCCCTTGCACACAGGCATCAGCTACAAGACACCTCTCAGCTCCCCATGCAAAAACACCTCGCTTTTACTACCTCAAACCCTGCCAGTCCTCGCTGCCTCTCCATGTGCCCCACGAGGCATGCCAGGGCCAGGGCACGCCGTCCACAACAGCTCTCCGAGGCTCAAAGCTACTTACGCCCTGCAGAATATTTGTTTTCCCCTGGCCCTTAATGACAATTGTTATCACCAGCAATAATAAGCTCAGAGGACAGAGAAGGGAAACCACCAGCTCTCACAAATGGTTCCCTAACATCCGACAGCATCCAGGCCTGCTGTGGACATCTGTGCACCCAGCCTCCCTCATCTCTGCAGGCAGCAGGCTCCTTGCTGCAGCCTTGGCAGCGATGTGCCCGGGTGGGGTGTGGAGGTGCTGGCAGAGCCCAAATGCCGCTGGAGGCAGCGGGGCACAGCTGGTTGCTGAGCCTGGACTCTGGCAGTGGGGCACCTTTGGGTTGCAGAGACGCCTGTGCCCAGCCCAGCTCCAACCCACTTCAAACCACGCCCCTTTTTAAAATTTTGACATTTATTTTACCAAAAAAAAAAAAGAGAGAAACAACACGCAGTTATACCAACTTACAATTTATTATTTTTTTAAAAAATGACATGAAACACAAGTAAAAATAAATACATCATATAAACAACAAATTGTTCAAAGTCTCTGCTCTGGGAGATCAGGTGAGCACATCCCGTTCGACAGAGAGAAAAGGGAAGCACATGATCATGCGTGGGGCCAACCGACCAACCCACCCTGCTAGCGGTACTCCTCTTTCCAACCACAAAAAGACAGGCCACAAACTAAGGTGGCAGTAAAAAAGAAAAGGAAAAAAAAAAAAGAGAAGAACCCCAAACCAACAGAAAACCCCAAATGAGACAGCAATGGATTCCTTCAGGCTCCCGTGGATCTGCCAGAGACTTCCAGCTCCCAGACGGGTGCCACCAAGGTGGGAGCCACAAAGCAGCTGTGGGCAGGGGTGGTGGTCCGGGAGGTGTCAGAGGTTGCTCTTCCTCACTCGCACCACTGTCCCTTCAAAGGGAGCGCTCGCTCGTGAGTAGCAAGGAACCATCAACTCACTGTAATCTAGCTGGACTATGTTCCTCTTTTAACCTCTGCCCCAGACCCCAACCCTCCCCCCCCAGTCCTTCAAAGACCAGATTAACAAAATTCATCCCAGAACAGCGAGAAACACCAGTTGTGAAGGTATTTGCTGTACTTGTCCCTGTTGGCCTGGAAGCCACCCACAAACCAACAGCAATTCTCTTGCATTCAGCCATTTGCTGACATTAAGCCAAAATATATATTATTTCTAGCAAAGCCCTCATGGGAACCCCGGCCTTTGCTTGCCAGAATATTTGTTTTCTGTGGGTACCTGCATCCACCCCACCAACCTCCCAGGCATGCGGGGGGCCCAGTGTGCAGCAGATCCTGCCCAACATGGGCCAGGTTGGGCTGTGTTGCCCCCACCCTGCAGCCCCCCATGATGCCCCGAGAGCTGTGCCAGCACAAGGGCAACAGGACCACTGAGACCAGGGCACACGGGAGCCACAGCCCCCCCCCATGCCTGTGGCATTATATCTCGCTGTCTGCCCCGCAGGTCCCTGCAGCTCTGCCCCGGCCTCAAGGCTGTGCTCAGTGATCCAAAAACCTCAGTGGAGAGTCCTGCATTGCTGTTGCCCCCAGCCCCCCTGCCGTGAACTGGCAGCTGCTTCCATCCGGTCATTTGGAGACAGAAATTCAGCAGCAAAAGAAAAATTTAACCCGTGCAGGGAAAGCCCCTGATCCAGGCTCAAGGAAACCGAGGTGGGACCCTCCACAGCAGAACCACGTGCTGAAGAAAAAAAAAAAAGTCTGGGGAGGGCAGACGAGGGGGAGAAGGAGTCCCACAGGAGAGAAGTTTTAGGACTCAGAGAGGTCCCCCCACTTGGAAAGCCGACAGATAACCCGCACACCCTCACGGCTATGGGGTGGAAGAATTCTTTCCCACAGTGCCACGGGACAGCAGGCGCTTCCAGTTGCCTTGGAGTAGCCCCAGTCCCTGCCAGCACCCATGGGAGCCCCATCACAACTATCTCTGCAACCACCTCTCAGCCGAGGCTCTGACAGGGCCCAGGGGACCCATCCCCTTGTAAGGGGGTGCTCAGGGCTGGTATGTGGGGCAGAGAGGTGCTGCACCGTCCCACCATGCTCAGGGAGGGCAGCTGGGGCTCCACTCAGGTGCCTGCTGTGCAGGGGCACTGTGCTGCAGCTGCCCGGAGCCACTGTGGATGTTTGCCAGCAAGTGGAAGCCCCTCATAGCAGGTCACATCTGGGGGCAGCTGCACCATGGAAGGGCAGCAAGGGGTCTCCAAGCTGCCATGGCAGGAGCCAGGAGAGCCCTCGCACTTCACCCTGGTACCAGAAGGTTAACAGCCAGGCCATGGCACAAAGCGTGAACCTGCGGTAGCTGAGCACCGGCCACCTCCAGCTGCTATGGCCACAGGGCTTGGGCTATGTCGGGGAACCCTGGGAGGACATTAGACAGCAGCACGGGGATGTGCCAGGGCCTGCTCAGGAAGCCCCAGGTGCTCTTCTGGAGAGGCAAGGAGCAGAGAAAATGGCATGCAGTCACAGGTACCACATCTAGAGCCATGGTGCTGACTTCCCCCAGCCTAATCTTCATGCCTTGTCCCAGCACAGAGTCACACAAAAAGCCCCATTCAGAGAGGACGTGGGAGGGTCCCTCAGATGAACCCCACTATCCTGACCACCACCAGTGAGGACGGGCTGCACAGGGCTCTGGTGAGGGTCACACTCCAGCCTCCCACACGCGCCCGTAGGTGTCAACACTTGCTACTCACGACAAGGAAAGCCCTTGCCTAGGTGCATTCCCCAAATCCACCAGAAAACTGACAGCCTCACAGGGATGCAACGGACATCTGAGCAAGCTCGTCATACAATCAGTGTCACAGGGTTGTGCATGAGGTGGACACACAGAGCACAGGAGGGCATGACTCACAGATGCAGCACTGTCAAGTCTTTGGAGAAACTTGCATGAACACCATCAGTTAATTTGCTTTGTTACTTTTGTGGGGGGGTTTGATTTTTATTTCCATGGTGCATCCAAAGACAAGTTGTCCAGCAGTTTGCTCAGAACCCCTCGGTTTTCAACTCCTAGGATATGTTAAAGAAGAAAGCACTATTTTAATGTTTGTTTTTTTAAAAAAATAATTAAAATAATTTGCATAGCTAAACTGTTGATCTAAGGCTTCTATGAATAGTGTGGTTATGTTTGACAGACAATGTCCATTAAACAGAGAAAGACACTAGGAAAGCCCCATAACATTTTTTATTATGTTTTTGTAACACACATGTGTGCACACCCCCCTCCCCCCCCCAGTCTCTCTCAGGAAGGGAGGTCCCCAACTTCCAGCAGCCCTTTGATGGAGGATGTCAGGACATCCTGCCCTTTCCTACACTTAGTTGGTCCCAGCAAACACCAGCAACTACAGCTGCCACAGCCCCAGAGGTCCCCTGAAAGCTACAACCGCTCCAACATCCCAGCCATGCTCCAGGGACATCCCTCACAGGTGAGCACATCTCCTGCCTGGTGACACCCAGGTTCCTGGATTTCAATCTCCATCCTAACACGTCCACACACACAGTCACACACACCAAGTCCAGCTGCACTTGGGTAGCCCAGCCTCTCCTCAGGAGCCCTGGCACGGAGGCGAGCAGCCAGCATGTTTGCTGCTGGGGCTAGAGCCAGCCTCTCACGTGTGTGGCCAGGCTGGGCTAAGTGTAGCTCCCTGCATGGGGCAAGGCGCTTCCCTGGCAGCAACTCTGCCTTCCCAACTCTGCACGCCTCACAACCTTCATCCTCACTGGGAATGAGCACAAGAGGCTTCCACATGTGCTCCTCCACCTGCTCCAATATGACACAATGACTCCATCCTCCCTCCAGCTGCCGCAGAACACCTGGAGCAGCTCCTCCCTGCTCTGGTATGATCCCCTGATGGGGCACACCCAGCCAATGTGACACGCATCTACTATATGCAACCTCTGCAGCTGGCCCTGCTTCTAGGCTATGCTTTGGTCAACCAGCTGCTTCTCCCCACACAGAGAACCCAACAAGCAACCACTGCATGACGGAGGCCAGCATTTTAATTTTTTAATATGGAAATTAATTTAAAAGTAGAAAGAAAGAGTCCCCCAAACAATAAATATGTCTTCATGAAATAAATTAATGTAGAGATTCTGTGCAGGGGGAAATCGTTCCAATCACAGATTTAACAGCAATCAGCACTGGGTCCAGTGTCCCCTCCCAACCTTTTCCACTGCCTGGCGCTGTTCAGAAGCAGCAGCGAGCCCACCTACCCCTGGATCTGGTGGGCCACCGTGGGGGGAGATGTGGCCTTCACACAGCCTGGCAGGCCTGCAGAGTCAGGGAAGTTGCCAGCATTCCCCTCCGACAGCCACTGAGATGTCTGGGACTGCTCCCCTCATCTGGCACATAGAGCTGGCATCAGAACCACAGGACCAACCTACCTTGGACAGAACCCTCTCCCAGAAGGGCCTAGGGGAGCCCCCCACCAGAGCCCTGCCTTCCTCACTGCAGCAGGAGCCTGCCTGGAGCCCTCACACTAGTTTCATGTGAATTTGAAGAGGATGACAAATTGTTTGTGGGTGGTTTTTTTTTTTGTTTGGGTTTGTGGTTTTTTTTTGGGGGGGTTTTTTTTTTTTTTTTTAACATCAATCCCCACACACCCCCCTGGCCCCAACATACACAATGTAGAAGCCCCCCCACTCCCTCCCCGGTAAAAATGCTTCTTCCCCAACCTCTGCTGGAGTCACCCTCCCTGGCCCACACCTCCTGGAGTGACAGAAGTTCACAGATAAGGCAGTTCGTGTGAGAGGGAGCTCTGCCCTGCCTGC